AAGTTTGGGCAGCTTTCCATTTCACAGTCCATTCCTTAGGTTTTTAAACAGTATGTTATCGTACCTGTAGATGCTATAAAAACTAAATATTTGAGCAGCAACACTCAGCTGTATGTGTTTATTCTCAAAGATGGCCCCCCTAAACACTTGACCCAGGAACCCAGGACAGTGACTTGAAAATGGCCTCCCCTCCCTCATCCCACCCCCCCAGCCCCCTTCACTCCTCACTTTACAGTGAGGGGACCGCACTGCTGCCCCCATCCCGGGCTCAGGACCCATGTGCTCGCCGTCTCCGGACCTTCAGTCCTACCACAGTCTTTTCACCCTGTGCCGTGGCGCTCTGCCCCCATGTCCCCCCTTTTCTGTCACCGTGTTAGAGAAGAAAAGCTCTCAACCCAGCGTCACCCTGGAGTTGCTGTGCTTCACCACAGAAAACAAAAGCAGTCTCTACGTTCCGAACCTTCTCTTCTCCCGTCTGCTCCCGATTTTTTAAAAAGATGTACACAAAATCAATGTACATATTTCATATTTTATACAAGGTCTGTCCAGAAAAAATCCAGCCATTGTTAACATAATGAGAACGATTTGCACGACATTGATGTCACCTGGCAGCCAAGGAGAGTGGACTGGAAGGTGCGTGTGTGAGCAATGACGACTTCACTGTACCAGTCACTGGGGGCGGTAGACACCGTTCAGTGAGCATGTGTGCTGTGTGGCCATCGCATTCCAAATGACTGAGTAGAGCAACAAATCTGCATCAAATTTTGTGTTAACCTTGAACTTACCCTGTGTAACCTATCTGGGTGATTCAGAAAGCCGGAGCTCTGGGCACCTGGTGCTTGGCAGCTCCATCACAACAATATGCCTGCTCGTGCATCACATCTTGTGCAGGGTTTTTTTGGCAAAACATCAAATCACCCAGGTGACTCTCTACAGCCCAGATTTGGTGCCCTGAAACTTCTGGCTTTTCCCAAAACTAAAATCACCTTTGAAAGGGAGGAGATTTCAGACCATCAATGAGATTCGGGAAAATACGGTGAGGAAGCTGATGGTGATTGGAGAACTGTGTGAGGGCCCAAAGTGTGTGCTTTGAATGGGACTGAGGCATCATTGTCCTATGTACAGTGTTTTTTGTAACTTGTATCTTCTGTAAATGTCTCTAGTTTTCATAGTACATGGATGGATTCCTCATGGACAGCCCTAGTATGTAAAATCAAGGATGAGAAACTGAACACATCATATTTCGCCGTCCAAAGATGAGCACTGTTAATACCTCAGTGTCTGTCTCTCAGGCAGTTTTCTGTGGACATACGCACACTTAGGTGGCATTTTGCCCCAGTGAAGTCACCCTATGCAGGCTTCTCGTAATCTACATTTTTCTGTCAGTGATGTCCGACTGTACGTGTCTGTAAGTTCTCCTCTGGTCTGATGCCGAGGCCCTGGGACATCCCCAAAGTCCTTAGCTGGTCTGTCCTGCAGGAGAGGGACGCTCCAGCTCTGCATGGCATACATGCAGGAGCACTCACATGCCTGTGTTTATACATACCTATGTTCACAACACAGAGTCACAAATTTCCCCTCATGGGTTTTTTACAAGCAACCAGATTTTTTCATGTCTGCACACTCACATATGTGAGATACATGCATGTACTTCATAGACAAAGCCATGAGTATATTAAGACATTTACAGAAATACTTTATCAACTGTGGATGTTAGTGTTTCCAAGCAGCCCTCATGCGAGTAAATGTACCCACATGACTTCGGAGAAACCTACTAAAGAGTCGACGTGCATGTGGGGGCACCTGCCTGTGTGTGTATGACATGACTAATGGCCCGTGGAGAGAAAGACGGGGTGTGGTGGCAATCTGAATGCACCCCCAGAAACTGGAGGGTCAGGTGGATGGGGAAGAGCAAAGATCTAGGAGACGGGGTGGAATGCCACCACTGTTGAATGTGGACTCACAGAGAGTATCACACCCAACCGGTAAATCCCTTCTGATCATACCCAGAACTAGAAGGGAAACTGCCTTTGTGCCTGGCCACAGAGGACCCTTCGTAAAGTCCAGTCACCAATGTAAACTGTTTTTCTTTGACAGTGCAATAAAGTCCATAACATTAGAAAAGATCTCACACAGTGGGACTAAGCAACACACTATGAGGAATCTGAGTGAAAGAAAGAGGCAACATAAGGAAAATTACGAAATTCCTGAAAACACATGATGTCAAAACTGTTGCATGTTAAATTTGGTAGGACCCAGCTAAGGCGTAAACACACACAAAAAATAGGACAGCTTTTTAAAAGTGAGTCCAGTGTTCAGCTTAGGAGGCTGACATCAGAGCAAGAGCCAGCCCAAAACACAACAAAGAAGGGACAATAGAGAAAAGGATATGGACGAGGAAGGAGAAAATAGAGGAAAAAACAAGCAAAACCGAAAGACTGAACAAGACACACAAACCTCTGGCAACACTGATCGAGAAACAGAATACACATGTCACAGGCAAAGCGGGAAAGCAAAGAAACTGTGAACAGAAAATGTGCAATATTCTAACTAATGAGATGATCTGCAAGCAGCGGATGAACGTTCTTACAAAGCCCTGATATTCTCCAGGAAGAAATGATGATATAGGCACATCGTGCATATGCACTTACTTAGTCCTCTCCACAGTTCTGAGGCCGGTGCCATCTCCCTGGGGGGCTGGGGACATGAGGCAGAAGAAAAGACAAGTGCCCACAGCCGTGTGGGCAGAGGCGAGCCCTGAGGCCAGCTGGCCAGTGCCCAGCCCCATGCTCCGGGCTACTGAGTGTTCTGGGTGGCCTCCAGACAACCCGCAGGAACCCGTGGCCATTGGAGAAAGGGCGGGGGTACTCAAAGTCCACCTACCCCCAGACATTCTCTGGGGCATATCAATCTTATGAGTCAGTTTTTACTAAACTTTCAAGAAACAGACAAACCCCATCTCATCCAAGATTGTCAAATCTCAACCCAGTTTAGGAGGCTGCTACAATTTTTTTTCCTTTTTAATTCTCATCTGAGGACATGTTCACTGATTTTTAGATAGATAGCTAGAGAGGGAGGTGTGGGAGAGAAACATCGATGGGAGAGAGAGACATTGACCTGCCACCTCCTGTACGCACCCGAACCAGGAATCAAACCTGCAACCCAGGTATGTAGGTGCGTGCCCTGACCAGGTGCCAAACTGACGACCTTTTGGGATATGTGGCTCAGTTAGCTGCCACACAGCCAGGGTGAGGCTGCTGTAATTTTTATTCCAAAATTGGGTAAAGACAGATGCTAACTGAATCCAATATTGTAAGGTTTATTCCAAAATGCAAGGATGACTCAACTGTTTCAATAAATAACCTTTTGGGTTTTTTTTTAAATGCTCAGAAAACTCTGAATAGAAGAAACTTACTTTCAGGAATGGCGAGGCTTATTCCAGGAAGAGCAGGAGGAGGCCGCAAATGTCAGATGTCTCCAAGCTAGCGCCCGCTGGAAATCAGGCAGATCAGGGGAAGGTTGCTTTTTGTGTGTGCGTGTACATGCACACGTGTGCATGTGTGAGTCCACCTGGTACACAGCCGGCCCGGAGCCACTAGGGCTGTGGCTTCGTGCAGCAAGAGGGCACAGGGGCCCCTTCGCTGAGCCCCTGCCGAGTGGTGCTGGGCACCAGGGACACAGTGCATGTGGCACGTTGGCCTGCGGAGCCCAGGTCTAGGAACAGCCAGCGGCCTGGGGAGACCGTGCAAACCCGAATGTACTCTTGAGCAGGAGGACCCTGTTGGGACCCCTCAGCTGGGATGTGATGCTAGCTAGCCACTCGCAGGCACCACTCCTGTCCTCTCCTTCACCCAACTGCAAGCCGTTCCTTCACTTTCTACTGCCCCTGAGCGCTCCTGTGCCATAAATAAGATGCACGTGCCCACCTCTGGAGGCTTCACTCTGTGGCTGTGACCAAGAACTTAATCTAGCTGAGCTGACAAGTAAGGACACGAAGTTGCCTGGGTCAAAGTGTCTCTAATCCTGCAGACTTCATCCCCAGAAGGTGGGTCAGCTCTGTCCCTCCTCCCCTCGTCCATCATCACCCTGCCTGCACCCTGGTCCTCTCGCTCGGGGACAGTGGCTGGAGTGGCCAGAAAGGTCTCCTGGCTGATCCAGCTACCGCCAGCCCTCATCCCACCAGGAAAGGAGCCTCCTGGAACGCAGCTGTGACCACCATGTCTCACATACACCTGCATACTGCACACGGGTCACACACACCTTCACTTTTACATCATCAGGTTAGTGGGCCTCACACTTAAGACATCTGGAACCTCAGCCACACTTTGCTTTTCCTGCTGGTCGATTCTAAACAGTAGAGGGTTGTTGGTGGTGATGATGGTACCAGTGCACAAGATGAAGATTCCCGGGCCCCACCTAGACCCCTGACTCCGAGGTTGTCTCAGAGCCTCTGCATCTGTACTGTAAAAGAGCTCCCAGGGGAACTCGGTTCCTGGGCCTGCCCTCCCCCAGCCCCCCAGGCTGGGCGCTGGGGTGGGGGCGGGGTCGTGGTCGTCCCTGCAAATCACAGTCGAATGACCATGTCAGGACGCGAGCCCAGAGGAACAGCCAGGGCCTAGCCCTGAGGAAAAAGGGTGGACCGGCTATTGAGGTGCCAGGGGGTTGCTGGGGAGGAAAGTCAGTGGGTTATTAGTGCCGGTGCAAAGTCAAGGAGGAGCCATGCTCAGGGCGCGGAGGTGGGAGGTGAACCACAGCCGAAGGCCCTAAACACAGGAGGCTTGCCCTTGACCCCGAGCACTGGAGCAGAGGTGAGGCTGGTGGGCAGGGCCTCTGGGGCTCCCCAAGCTGCAGAAGGGGCGCGGGAAGGGCACCGCAGCCCCACCCGCCGGCGCGCCCCGCACCGCCCCCGCGTGCGGCCGCCAGGGGGCGCCAGGTCGCGCCGCTCCGCGGTCAGAGCGCAGCGGGCTGCGCCCGGGAGCCGCGGCGGCGGGTGGCCCGGGTTCCCTGGCAGCGGGAGCAGCGGGCGCTGCCCATGGGCCGGGCCCGGGGTCCGGGCGCGCCGGGAGCCGGTGAGTGGGGACGCGGCCGGGCGGGACGCGGGCGCTGCAGGCCGGGAGGGGCGGCGGCGGGTGTGGGCCGGGAGGTCGGGACGCAGCCGTGCGGGCGGCGAGCCCGGGGGCGCGCGGCCTGACTCCGGGCACAGGTGTGCGCGCGGCCGGTTTTGCGCGCGGTCGCCCGCCCGCGGGCCCGGGGTGGGCAGCGGGGGGCGGGGCTGCGCGGCTTGGGTGCGGGCGCAGGGAGCCTGGCGCCTGCGGCCCGGGACCGGCGGAGGACACACCCCCGGCCCCGGGGAGAGAGAACGCGCCCCTGGGCGCGAGGGGCGAGCGTCTTAGGAACTCGCGGGCAGGAAAAGTCAGCCTGGACCCAAGGCCTCCACCCCGCCCTAGGCCTCAGTTTCCCGGTCTCTGAAATGGGACCGGCCAGGCTGACCTGCCGGGTGCGTGTGAAGGAGGGGAACGGCCTTGTCCGGGCAGCCGGGGGGACAGGGGCTGCTGTCTCTGAAGCTGGGGCCTATGGAGGAAAGCACCTATTCTGCCATCAGAGCGCCTGGGGAGAGGCGGCCAGCTCGGGTTCTGGGCGTGTCCCCCCACGCAGCCAGAGCGGGCGGGGTCGGAGACCCTGGACCCCTTCTGTCTGTTGGGGTGGGGACAGGGAAGCCCCGTCCCCGCCCCCTGCTCAGTGTGGGGGAAGCGTGCGCCGAAGGGGCAGGGCAGTTCGGGGTGTGGAGAGTCTCACCCCCGCCCCCCTCCTCCTGGCCACGGTGAGGCAGGTGTTCTGCTGAGCTTCGGAAGCCAAGAAGTGCCCCGGGAGGGTTTACCCGCCTGGGAGGTGCGGTGGCCCCCACCCCTTACTGCGAAGTGACTGGGGCTTAGAGAGGTGACTGGACTTGTTCCAGGTCTCAGGACCAGGACGTGGCAAAGCCGTGGGGGGTGGGGGGCTTTGCCTGGGGCAGAACTGGCGGCCGGAGAGGCCTGCAATTGGTCGCGAAGCCGCGGCTGTACGCGGGCTGCTGCCGGCCCTGGTACGGCCCCAGTAGGTGCTGACAGGTGGGGATGGGGGGCGGGGCCGGGCCAGCGATCAGGGGAAAACCCGTGGTCATGGCAGAGGGTCAGTGCCAGGGAGAAAATAAAACGGTAATTGGGGTGGGGAGAGACTGGGGTGGGGCAGGACCTTAGCCTAACCCGGGAGGGTGGCCCTGAGCAGTAGTGACCCCGGATGCCAGGTGACTGGAAGGGCAGGGCTCTCTGGAAGGCTCTGAGGGAACTTCAGCTGCGTGGCCCGGATGGGGGCCGGGCTGCTGGGAGGGAAGAGCTGCGAGAGCCAGGGAGGGGAGCTGTGGGGTGTGGATTTCCTCGGGTGCCCTGCGAAGCCTTCGGAGGGGTTCGAATTTGAGAACTGAAAGGAAGCCCCTGCTGTGGGTGCAGGGGGAGGAGGGGAGCCTCCAACTGGCTGTCCCTATTTGGGGTCCACCCCAGGGGGCCTGCAGCCGCAGGGCCCCCTCAGTCCTGGCAGGACCTCCTGCAAGGGGTCCAGTGGCCAGAGGTGGCAGTCAGGGGAGCCCTGCCCCGCTTTCCCTGCACCCTCCTGGTGCCCAGCAGGGGAGGGAGCGCTTCTGTAGAGTTTGCAAAGATGGGGTGCAGGGTGTTTGGGGCTGGCTGTTTTGGCAGGTCTGTGTCCTCTTGACGCATTCCCGCCAGTCTTCCCCATCGCTCCAGCCCTCACTTGCACTTTGACCCCCACCTGGAGGCAGCCCTTCCTCAGAGGAGCCCCCACACCTGTCCGTGGGGTGGGACTCAGAAGCCAGGGTCTGCACCTTACATGTGCTTCTTGCCTTCTCAGTGGACCGAGGCCAAAAATCTTTTTTTTCAATCAAAAGTTTAATATACCCATTTTCTTTCTCCCACTGTAAGAACCTGGTTCGCCAAAACGTCAATGTATTTAGTCATTTGCTTTGTCTTAGAATGCACCCAAAATGATTTCTGAATCTCTGCATCCAAATCAGCACCAACCAAACCTGACTAGATCAAGTTCAGGATTTCCTGGGGTAGTCGGCATAGTGTGTCACCAGCTCCATATGCCATTAGCTTCCTCTGTTTCTCTTCGCACACAGTTTGGTTTTTCCCCCCTTTTATTTTTTTATTATAACTTCATTTCTTGAATAAAAGTTCCTGTCTCTTCCTCCTTATTCCCACACTGTGGGTAACCATTTGAAATATGGTTTTTATCTTCCCTGGTTTTCTTTGCCAGGCAAGCCATTTATTTGCGCTATCATGAAAGGTAGCACACACATCTCCCTTGCACTTTGCTGTTTCCCCTTCAAACTCCCTTCACAGCGGCTCACAGGGCCTTTGCTCACGCTGCTGCTGTGCAGCCGCATGAGTGCCCCTTGGTGGCAGTGCCGTGCTTGTCCGGCTGTGGCGTGCAGGTTCGGCTTCTTCCAGGCCTTTGTTATTAAAAATCATAAAGCAATGGATAACCTTGCACACAGGTTGTTTGTATTTCTGGAAGTGTCTCTTTAATTCCTGAAAGTAGAAGTAAATACAGACTTACTTTGTTCGCTGTTCCCAAGTTCCCTTGCCCCATATTCTATGCTCCTACCAGGGTAAGGGCCAGTGCCTGCTTCCCTCCCTGCTGCCACCTCTGAGAGCCAGAAAAGAGCATCTCCACACATCTTTGTTTTAATATATTTTATTAGTTATGCTATTACAGTTGTCCCTTTTCTCCCCTTTATTCCCCTCTGCCCTGTACCCCCCTCCCCATCTTTTCCCACCTTGCTTCATGCCCATGGGTCGTACATACAAGTTCTTTGGCTTTTCCATTTCCCATACTATTCTTGCCCTTCCCCTGTCTATTTTCTACCTGCCATTTATACTTCCTATTCCCTGTACCTTTTCCCACATTCTCCTCTCCCCCTCCCTGGTGATAACCCTCCATGTCATCTCCATTTCTGTGGTTCTGTTCCTGTTCTAGTTGTTTGCTTAGTTCATTTTTGTTTTTTTTTTTAGGTTCAGTTGTTGATAGTTGTGAATTTGTCATTTTGCTGTTCATATTTATGATCTTTTTTTCAGATAAGTCCCTTTAACATTCCATATAATATGGGCCTGATGATGATGAACTCCTTTAACTTGACTGTATCTGGGAAGCACGTTATCTGCCCTTCCATTCTAAATGATAACTTTACTGGATAGAGTTGTCTTGGATGTAAGTCCTTGGCTTTCATGACTTTGAATACTTCTTCCCAGCCCCTTCTTGCCTGTAAGGTCTCTTTTGAGAAATCAGCTGACAGTCTTATGGGAACTCCTTTGTAGGTAACTGTCTCCTTTTTTCTTGCTGCTTTTAAGATTCTCTCCTTCTCTTTAATCTTGGGTGATGTGATTATGATGTGCCTTGGTGTGTTCCTCCTTGGGTCCAACTTCTTTGGGATTCTTTGAGCTTCCTGGACTTCATGGAAGTCTATTTCCTTTGCCAGATAGGGGAAGTTCTAATTTATTGTTTTTTCAAACAAGTTTTCAATTTTTTGCTCTTCTTCTCCTTCTGGCACCCCTATAATTCAGATGTTGGAACGTTTAAAGTTGTTCTGGAGGTTCCTAAGCCTCTCCTTATTGTTTTGAATTCTTGTTTCTTCATTCTGTTCTGGTTGAATATTTATTCTTCTTTGTGCTCCAAACCATTGATTTGAGTCCTGGTTTCCTTCCCATCACTGTTGGTTCCCTGTACATTTTCCTTTATTTCACTTTGCATAGCCTTCACTTTTTCCTTTATTTTGTGACCATATTCAACCATTCTGTGAGCATCCTGATTACCAGTGTTTTGAACTGTGCATCTGTTAGGTTGGCTATCTCTTCATTGCTTAGTTGTATTTTTTTCTGGAGCTTTGATCTGTTCTTTCATTTGGGCCATTTTTGTTTTGTCTCAGCACACCCGTTACATAGTAAGGGGCAGATCCTTCAGTGTTCACCAGGGAAGGGCAACCTGTGTTGCTGCTGCATTGTGGTACTGTATGTGGAGGAGGGTTCGAGAAGTAACAATGGCATTTGCTCTGCTCTCCACTGGCTCTCAGTCACTTCCCCTGCTTCCCACAAGCAAAGTGGGACCTTCTGGTGCTGATTCCTGGGTGGGTGGGTTTGTGTACATTCTAGGACCCTGTGGGTCCCCCCAATGAACTCCCCTGTAAGGCTGGGAGTCTCTCCTGGCTCCTCAACCCCCACAGGTGTTTTCAGTCACAGGTTTGAGGCTTTATTTCCCCTCTGGGACCCTGGGTTGTAGGTCTGTCTCGCTCCCCAGTTGTTTCTCCCCATTTATCTGCATGAATATGGGACCACCCAGTCCTCCAGCCACTGCCTCGGGGTGAGTCCTCTCCTCCCGGCTGCCTGTCTCCGCCTCTCCTGCTGGTCTGGGTGAGTGTTTCTTCTTTAACTCCTTGGTTGTCGGACTTCCATACAGTTCAGTTCTGTCAGTTCTGGTTGTTTTTTTGTTTTTAAATTGTTGTTGTCCTCCTTTTGGTTGAGCAAGGAGGCCCAGTGTGTCTACCTACACCTCCATCTTGGCCGGAAGTTCCATGCATCTTAATTTACATTTCTATCTTTGTTACTGAAACCAGATGTCTTTTCACAAGTTTATAAGGCATTTCGTTACCTTTTCTGTGAGTTTCCTATCCTTGTGTTTTGCCCATTTCCTACTGGAATTTTGGTCACTTTTTCACCTCGAATTTAAGTTTGTTTAAAATACATATTAGATTATTAGTGTTTTATCTTTGTTATATTGCAAATATTTCTCCCAGGGTTTTTTTTTCCACATTACATATGGTGGATTTTGCCATTAAAAGCTTTCCATTTGTATGTAGTTGATTTAAACACACTTGTCCTTTATCATATCTAGATTTTTTGTTTTTATTGAATGTATCAGGGTGACACTAGCTAACAAAATATACAGGTTTCAATGCACAATTCCACAGCATGTCTGTACACTGCAGTGCGCAGTCACCGCCCCAAATCAGGTCTCCTTCATC